CACATGCGCTCCCACATGTGATACAGATACTCTCTAATTCCTAGTTCTTTTCTTCCTTTCCAAACCTGGTGTATATTAGCTTCCTTCCTTTAACAATTATGTGACCACCAATGTCAAGTACTATTCTAGATGCTAGAGATACAAAAGTAAACAAGATAGGTGAAGACCTTGCTTTTATGAACCTTATATTTTAGAGGAAGACAGAATGAAAAAAAAGCAAGTATGGTTGATCCTTGAACAACGTGACTTTGAACTGTATGGATTTACTTATACATGGATTTTTTTTCCTGATAAATACAGTCCAATACTGTAAATGTATTTTCTCTTTATTTTTTTTTTTTTTTTTTTTTTAATTTTTATTTATTTATGATAGTCACAGAGAGAGAAAGAGAGAGAGGCAGAGACACAGGCAGAGGGAGAAGCAGGCTCCATGCACTGGGAGCCCGATGTGGGATTCGATCCCGGGTCTCCAGGATCGCGCCCTGGGCCAAAGGCAGGCGCCAAACCGCTGCGCCACCCAGGGATCCCATGTATTTTCTCTTTAATATTTTCTCAAGCTTACTTTATTGTAAGAATACAGAATATAATACATATAACCTATAAAAACCTAAGTGTTAATCACTGTTTATGTTTTGGTAAGACTACTGGTCATAGCAGGCTATGAGTAATTATGTTTTGGGGGAGTCAAAAGTTATAGGCAGATTTTCAGCTGTGGGAGGTGGCCCATGTTCCTTATCCCCACATTGTTCAAGAGTCTAAAGTATGTAACATTTCAGGTGGAGGTAAACACTACAAAGAAAAATAATAACGGGGCAAAGGATCTATGTGTCTAAAGTCAGGGGACACAATTTATAGGGTTGTGATTTGGGTCCAGAGACTTGAATTCTCTGAGATTCGTTTTTCTTTCTATAAAATAAGGCCATTGGAGAAAACAGTAGCATTGGTTACACATAGAGAGAAAAGTGGTAAGGGCATAGGAGAAAGACTTTCCACGTTATAATCTCTTGATTTTTTTTTTTTTAAGTGAGACTCTTCTAGCTCTAAGATTTGATGAGCAGTAAGTACAATATTATTTGTTTTGTTGCTTGCAGTTTTTCTGAGCCCTTTTTAAGCCCCCTAGAGCCATTAAAAAAGAGAATAGTTGAATAGAGGAAGCATAGGAACGCATTTTCCTTTGCTTAACATGATCTTAGCTTCTCTCTCTTTTTAAAGATTTTCTTTGAGAGATAGAGCAAGTGAGAGAGAGAGCACATGAATAGGAGAAAGGGAAGAGGGAGAAGCAGGCTCCCCACTGAGCAGGGAGCCCACATTCTGCTCAATCCCAGGACCCTGAGATCATGACCTGAGCTGAAGGCAGATGCTTAACTGACTGAGCCACCTAGGCACCCCCGTTAGTTTCTCTATCTCTTTCTTCTACTTTTTTTTTGAAGATTTTATTTATTCATGAGAGACACAGAGAGGCTGAGACATAGGCAGAGGGAGAAGCAGGGTCCCTGTGGGAAGCTGGATGTGGGACTGTATCCCAAGACCCCGGGATCATGCCCTGAGCCAAAGGCAGACTCTCAACCACTGAGCAACCCAGACATCCAGTTTCTCTTTTAAGTTAAGTAAAAACTGGGGAGAAATGTGCATTTAGAAGATACTGATGGTTAGCTGTTTCTATCATGGAAGAATTTGGCTATAAAAATTCAGGGTTCAGTAAACTTGATTTATACTGAATTTTTAGAACTGCCATCTGCAAGTTGTGTGATCAGAGGGCACGTCATGGGCAGCCCTGGTGGCCCAGTGGTTTGGCGCCGCCTTCAGCCTGGGGTGTGATTGAGTCCCACATCGGGCTCCCTACATGGAGCCTGCTTCTCCCTCTGCCTGTGTCTCTGCCTCTCTCTCTCTCTCTCTCTGTGTGTCTCTCATGAATAAATAAATAAATAAAATCTTTTTTAAAAAAAGGGCAGATCACGGTAAAAGGTGTTTTGTAATTGTGCATTTCTGGCTTCTTTCAAGTCTAAATCCTAACTCTTAGCTGAATAACTTTTGGTAATTTAACCTCCAGGCAACAGTGTCTTCATCTATAAAATAGAGATATTGATCACAGGCCCTTAACCACAATTTCCCAATGCGTAAATGGCTTAAAGATGAGGAATGTTTTCATATCTACCTCAAAGTCATGTGGCAGCAAAGCTACCCTGAAGTGACCCTGGCTTAGTACAAATATTCAAAGATTTTGCTAAAGAAATACTAACAATTAATTATGGAATATTACTCTACTGAGGTTGGGGCCATATTTACATCTTATTGCCTGTTTTCTAAGACATTAAAAATTCTGAATTCTGCTGTACATCTGGCCATGAAGTTTGAATGAAAGTGGATGTAGGTCTGTAATATCTTCCTTAAAAGATTTTTTAAGGATGAAAGGTAATATTTATATTTTGCTTGGCCTGTAGTAGTTGCCCAGTAAGCGATAGTTTGTAACTTTATTGTTACATAAAATTGGTTATGTTTGTGGGATTTCTCCCCATTCTGAGGAATCTGTGTTAAAGTCTTAAGGAAAGCTGTGGGAATGGTCAGTAGCCATTCTTTCAGTTTGAGGCTAGAGTCCCAGTCCTGGGAGTTGAGTACTTCTAGCCACTGCACACTCTTCCTCCAAATGCCCTCCATCCCTGTTTCTCCCCCACTTGAGGGTTCTCAGGAGCACACTTCATCTCACACACCAGTGGAAAACATCAGAAGGCTCTAGGGACAGGCAAGCAGTTAGCTCTAGTTTTTTTTTTTTCTACATCTCCCCTCCCCCCTAGCAGCTCATGGGAATCAAGCGCTGGAAATTTTCACAGTGAGTCGAGTTTTCCAGTGTTTGATAGTTATACCTTCCTGTATCTTCTTGGTAGTTTGAGGAAATTCTTTGTTGCAGAGTGAGGAACTGAAACAGGTGACAGAAGAAAGAATGATGAGGGAAGAAGGCAAAGGAAGGGATTTATTGTCCTTGCTCATTTTAAGAGTGGAGGAGTGTTGGTAAGGAGCCTTTGATATTCCTTAAAGTTGCTGTTCTTTAAAAACCTCACGTCTTTTATTTCAGTTTATGGTTAGAAATCAGCCCCCAAGCCATTAATTATATCTGAGGATTAAAACATTTGGTAGTGCAGTGAAAGGAAGCATTCTGGCCTGGTAACAACAGCTTAGGTGAAGACCTGCCATAGAGCTCAGTAGTAGCCGTTATTTTATTTTACTTGACTGCTAAGCCTGGCCTTTCCACACTTGAGAGGGAAGGAGTTAGTGAATGGTTTTTAAATACTCTGAACTTATTCGTTTATTCATCAAACCTTCACTCAGTATAGTCATATGCCAGATACTGCGTGAAATTATTTTACTAATTTATGGTGCTAAATATTAACTTTTACTAATAATTTTTTATTGACTATGGCAAGGAAATGAAATTCTCATGATTATGTGATTTTTTTTTTTAAAGCCTTACTTTCTTGATGTAGGATAGGCATCCATGATAAGAAATTCAGGCAATAATACACATATAAAAAGAACACGGGTCCACCAGGGTTCAGAGTTCACTGTTAACATTCCAAAGTGACTATAGTATATTTCCACCAGTGGATATGCCATATAGATATTAACCACTCTCCTGTTAGACATTTCAAATGTTTTCCTTCTCTTAAAAAGAGTGAGGGAGACCGAATGGGAGAGGGGTTGGGAGGATATATGGGAACTTTGTATTTTCTAATGTTTTCCTGCTAACATAAAAGAGCTCTAAAATTAAAGTCTCTATAAAACACACACAGCCAGCAATTCTTTCAGATATACTTGCTTTGAAAATATGGCACCCTTTTTTCCCCTGGAAAAATGATTCTTGTTTTCCTTAGGGAAGAGTAGAGTTCAGGAAGCTGCTCATTACAGCTCACTCATTTGAAAGAAAAAGACAATTGGGGGACGCCTGGGTGGCTCAGCAATTAAGTGCCTGCCTTCTGCTCAGGGTGTGACCCTGGACTCCTGGTGCTCGAGTCCCCATCGAGCTCCCTACATGGAGCCTGCTTCTCCCTCTGCCTGTGTCTCTGCCTCTCTATCTCTCTGTCTCTCATGAATAAATAAAATCTTCTTTTTTTTTAAAAAAAAAAAAGGTGATTGGAAATGTTAAAAGTAATAGCATTCCAGAGGATAGAAGACGATTAACAGGTGTTAAAGAAAAGCCAGAGGTGAGGGATCCCTGGGTAGCTCATCGGTTTAGCGCCGCCTGCTGCCCAGGGCGATCCTGGGGACCTGGAATGGGAGTCCCGCATCGGCTCCCTGCATGGAGCCTGCTTCTCCCTCTGCCTGCCCTCTGCCTGTGCCTCTGCCCCCCTTCTCTATTTCTGTGTGTGTGTCTCTAATGAATAATAATAATAATAATAGAAAGCCAGAGGTGGTAGTTAAAGCAGTAAAAGTAGGTGTTATTCAGAATAGCCACTGCAATAGGGGAAAAGAGACCTGCGTATATAGAACTGGGCTCAGTTCCGAATACAAGGACAAGTGGGAATTTCTAGCTAAGGAGCAGAGTGGACGAGGCGGTGGATGGAAGGTGACGAAGACGGCATGTCTGGGGTGAGGGATGTTTTCCCCAAATGACCTAACCTAGCTGCATTCTTGCTGGAAGCAGACCAGGGCGATGGGATGACGGGGAATGAGGAACTCCGTCGGGTAGTCAGGGTGATCAGTAGCAGGATTCTTGCTAAAATTGGGCGATGCGGGAACAGACCCAGAAGTACAAGAGTGGAGGGTTCAGAGGAGCCAGACTCCAGTTTGGTGAAGGAGAGCTCTTGGCACCAGGAGGAAAAGCCAGCTTCCAGGAGAGGACCGGGCTCCGCCAGCCGCCCGCGCTCCCGGGAACAAGGGAAGGCACCGGTGGCCGGGGGCGGGGCTGACCCCGGGAGGGCGGGGGGGGGGGGGGGGAGGGGAGGGGGCGGGGCGGGCAGCCGGAGCCGCCGGGGAGCCCATCCCGCCCCTGGGGGGGGGCGCCTCCCAGCTCCGCTCGGGTCTATGGAGGAAAAACTCTCCGCGGGCCCTGCGCTTCCCATGGCGGCGGCCGCCTGCGGCACCAAGGCCATGTCCCTGTTCAAGCGGACCCTGGTGCTGAGCCCCGCCTCGGCGCCCCGGGCCACGGGCACCGGCTCCCCGCCGCGCGGCTGCCCCTTGCCCCCCGCCGCCTGGTCCTGCAAGGACCGGGCGCGGGGAGAGGGCGTGTGCGGCCGCCTGCGGAGCCCGCCCGCCGCCGGCCGCCTGCCCCAGTCCCACTCCTGCTCCTCCGCGGCCCCCACCTCCGTGTGTCTTCTCTGCCCGCAGGACTCCCTCAGCAGCAGCTTGAAAACCTGCTACAAGTATCTCAATCAGACCAGTCGCAGTTTTGCAGCTGTCATCGAGGCGCTGGATGGGGAAATGCGGTGAGTGGCCAGACAGCTTCTTTTCACTTGGGGGGAGGAGAGCTCTTCCAGGGGACTTTGAGCCCCTGGAGGCTGCTTTCTGACAGCCCCGAGCATTGCAGCCTCCGTTTGTGCCTCAGCGAGAGCATGCCCTAACAGAGTGGAAATGTCCTAGCTGGAACACCCATGTATTTACTTTAGAATGCTCTTCCGGGCACTGCGCCCTAATAGTGTCCCTGTGGGCCCAGCTTGCAGGGAAGCGGGGAGGGGGGGGGGGTGTTTATTAACTTTTTTTAGTCCTGGCAGCTGAACCTGTCTCCGAGTAGGTCATGCCTTTTTCTTGACTTCACTGTGCCTGCCACATTGCAATTCTAGTATATGGAGTCAATTCTAATGAAGTTGCTTTTTTATTTTTTTAAGTTTTATTTAGTTAAGTAATCTCTACAACCCCACGTAAGGCTCAAACTTAGGACTCCTGTGACTGAGCCAGCCCAAGCGGCTTCTGTGCAGATTGCGTACATGAACCTAGACCAATTGCCTTGGTGTATGATAGTATTTACACTGAGAAGTTTTTGACTTTATTTTTTATCTACAAAATACTAGTTCCATGTAAACACTTGGTCTGTTGATATTTGTGCTGTTAGTTCTAAGTTAGTTAAATGTAACTCATTCTGTGAGCAGTTGTGACAGCTGGTAGGTTTTTTATTTTGTTTTTTTATAAGTAAATCACTGAAGTCCATCGCTCCCATCTAAGACAGGAAAACTAAGATGTTTCGTTAAATACTAAAAGCTTTGGCTGTCCTTTCATAGTTCTTTAGAAGTAGGGCTGTAGGAGGGTTTGCATAAATGACATTTTAAAATAAATATTTTGGAATGTTCGTTGCATTATATTAATGCATTTTACATGAATTCCATTTTTACAGCCATGCGGTATGCATATTTTATCTGGTCCTCCGAGCTCTGGACACTCTGGAAGATGACATGACCATCAGTGTAGAAAAAAAGGTTCCACTGCTACACAACTTTCACTCTTACCTTTATGAACCAGACTGGCGGTATATGGAGAGCAAGGAGAAGGATCGACAAGTGCTAGAGGACTTCCCAACGGTAGTGGAATTACAAATCTCTTCTGTGTATGGTTGTGTTTATAATTGATGATATAGTTGTCAGCCAGCCCCCATACCTGTAGAGAACAATAAAATAAGTAGTCTGAGGGCAGTTATGATATGATGTGATGGTTAAGAACTCTGGTAGCCAAAACTCTGAAGCCAGACTACCTGGGTTGGAATCCTCTCTTCCACTTATTAACTGGTGCATAGTGATGTGGCCTGTGTAAACCTCAGTTTCTTCATCTCTCTATAGATACCTGACTCCTAGTATTGTTCTGAGGTTTCAAAGAGTCACTATAGGTTAGAATGGTATTAGCTCCTATTGTTAGCAGTATGTTGCTTAGAAGCCCAGTGTTTCTTCCTTTGGAAAGATACATTCTAATTCTAGTGGTATTAAAGATGGATTCTAGGCTTGCTCACAAAACTCATTGCCTATATAATACAGCTGAAGTATAGGGTGCTACTGGCTCCTGGTACCCTTAGCCTGGTAGCACGGGTATACTGTTCATGATGGGTAGGTAGCTGCTGGGTTGAGGACCAAAAAGCAGGGTGATCCTCTACCACTAACACTACATGATCCAGGACAAGTTCCTAAGTTTCTTTTTTTTTTTTTTTAATTTTATTTTTTTTTTATTCATTTATGATAATCACAGAGAGAGAGAGAGAGAGAGAGAGAGAGAGGCAGAGACACAGGCAGAGGGAGAAGCAGGCTCCATGCACCGGGAGCCCGATGTGGGATTTGATCCCGGGTCTCCAGGATCGCGCCCTGGGCCAAAGGCAGGCGCCAAACCGCTGCGCCATCCAGGGATCCCAGTTCCTAAGTGTCTTTGCCTTAGCCTCCTCATTTGTAAAGTTAGAGTTCTGAGGATTGATAAGTTCATATATATAAAGTACTTAGGAGAGTGCCTGCTATATGCTAATTATTCTATATATATTAGGTATTTAGTCCCTTCCGTTGGACTTAAGTGGGTTATAATTAAAATCCTGAGTTTTAGAAAGTTGACAAGGCTATGTTATATATGTGACTAGATCTTACTTTTCTGGTATTTGTATGTCTCATCACACAAATAAGTGCTTCTTTCATATCTTATAAATAAAAGTTTGCTTTAATGAAGTCTCTTGTTCAGAGACTTTGGTCTAACAGACCAAAGAAGCCCTTCTTTTTTGTACTTGCTAGCATTTGAGGGGAAGAATAGTCCTCATGTGGCTGTTGCTACTGGAACAATCAGTATTTCTGAGTAGGGAGGGGAGGAATCCATGCTTTGCAAAAGAATGTTTTGAGGGCACCTGGGTGGCTCAATGATTGAGCATCTGCCTTTGGCTCAGGTCGTGATCCTGGGATCCTGGGATCCTGGGATTGAGCTCTGCATTGGGCTCCCTGCAGGGAGCCTGCTTCTCCATTTGCCTATGTCTCTACCTCTCTGTGTTTCTCATAAATAAGGATAAAATCTTTTAAAAATCAAAAAACAAAGAATGTTTGAGGGGCTCCTGTTGGAGTAAGGACTATTTCAGATTACTGAGATTATGTCTTTACTGTCAAAGACAAAAATAAAATACAATAAAGTTCAAACCAGAAGAAAAAGATCTGTGAGGAATAATTAGGTGGAGCTGATACAGTATAATGCAATTCAAAAGAAGAAAAAGGGAAAATAATTTGTGAAGCATGATTAGGTGAGGAGTTAAAGCACTTACCTAGAGAAGGTACCGGTGATTTGGTTCTCCCAGAACACCTCTCATATGACCAGAGAGGCTGGGTTTCCTCCGACTAGAAATCCATGGCCATTCACTGATGAGCTTGTGAAATTCTGCTAACACAGAGGAAGTGCTGAAAGCAGGGTCCCATAGCATTTATAATTGATGTGTATTGTCACTTTAAAAAGTTATATTCTAGGGGCCTCTGGGTGGTTCAGTCTTAAGCATCTGCCTTCAGCTCAGGTCATGAGGTGCTGGGATTGAGCCCCATGCCAGGCTCCCTGCTCAGTGCGGAGAGTCTGCTTCTCCCTTTCTCTCTCCCTCTGTGTTCTCTCTCAAATAAATAAATAAAATCTTAAAAAAAAAAAAAGTTATATTCTAGCTAGAGCCTCCAAAACCAAAAAACTCTTCCAAACTATTTTCAACTTGTGTAGATTCATAACAATTGAATAATGTCTAGTCCTGGGATAAATGTTATAGGTATTTTAAAAATCAAGGCAGCCCAACCCACTCAGCAAAAATGAAAGAGTATGAAAATATGTGAATGCTAGAATAATTTGGGGGCTATAGCTGGTAAATGTTTAGATAATATTTCAATATGCTTAGAAAACCAGTCTTCTTTATAAAGACTGCATTCCAGTGGAAGAAAGTTTGCTCAAGAAAATGTCATCATTAAATCAGTCTTTCCTATGTTGGGTAGTAGGGTGAGAGCAGATAGACACCACCCTTCTGAGAACAAGAGACTGGTCCTGGTAGAGTAGAAGGGAGCAGAGAGCACAGGCCAGGCATCACTGTTTTGCTGGTGTTAACCTTTTATATTCTTAAGAATGGGAACCATATGAAGCTATGTGTTTCATGAGGATGTAACTTTGTTTGGAGGTCCTTATAGCCTGTCATTCCGATTGAGATAGGAATATATGGAAAGTCATAGTGCCTCATTTTCATAGGGAATGCTTTGTCTACATGCTGATATATATCCCAGCACCTCCTTGAGACAAGATGTACAATTTGAAGGGTAAAGCAGTCTCCTTGGGTTAGATGTACTATCAGTTTTGGGCGAGGTCCTGAGACAGAACAGATAACTTGGCCTCACTCACACAGTACTGCTCTTAGACTGAGGTAAGAAGGACCTTCGCCTCCTGGCCCCTCACTTTTGGGGGCCCCACTTAAAGAGATGAGGGGTCCCCAGGGCCATGGGAGTATGCCTTCCCAGAGTTTATGCAGCTCCCCTTCTAGACTGTGGTCCTGGTTTCTGGAATTTCTTGCCCTCAATTCTCTGAGCCCACTTCCCAGGTTTGCAGTCTGTTTCCTCAGGCCTGTCTTCTCCGGGGGGGACAGTGATGGTGCCCCTAGGCCTTCTGGTGCTAGACAGAGCTGGGAGTGGGAAGGGAGGGTGCAGGCTGGGAGATGGGGATCAGCAGTCTCTGCCCTACTGCGTTTTGGAACAAAGCCCTGAGGAAAATTTAAATTCACTCCTGAGTCCTTCAGGTTGTGGTGAAGGTATCTTTATAAAAGCAGGAGAATAGAGCATACTGTTTAACAAGTTACTAGTATGCCTGGTAATTTTAAGATTGTAAGCCAGTATGGTATGTAGGCTTCCATTTGTACTCTTGTCCTGGGCCCCACAGACTTCAGGCATAAGCCTAGACAGAGTGTTCTAACCCAGGGAGCCCTTCCTCAATGTGTGTGCATTGAGATAATCTGGTGTTTTATGCTTTAGTGGTCATTAGTGGATATCATTTGAAGTCAGGCTTTCTAGAACTTTCACTATATGTTATGGATTAGATTAGAGAATATCTTTTTTACCTGGTACTGGTGGAAACTAGTAGTCTTCAAAATCTACCCCTAAACACAACTTGAAGGGGCAGCTGGGTGGCTCAGTTGTTTAGGCTTTTGCCTTTGGCTAAGGTCATAATCCTGGGCTCCTGGGATTGAGCCCCATTCAGGCTTCCTGCTTCTCCCTCTGCCTCTGATCCTCCCTCTGCTCCTGCTCTCTCTTGTTCTCTCAAATGAATAAATAAAATATTTTTTAAAAAACACAACTTAAGGAATAACAGGGCTATTTTTAAATGCTACTAGTAATAATAACAAACATTTATTGAGCTATGAATTAGTTATGAAATATATTTCATTATTCACTTACTATTTGTATTTTATGTTAATATAGTTTTAACATTTAATCACTGGCATACTTTACTACCCTTTTAAAAATTGGTTAAAAACAGAATATTGCATATAAGTGAAGAAGGTAGAATTACCCAGTTGTTTTGATCATAACACCCCAAAGTTTATAGGGAATTTTTATTTATAGGTGAATAGAAGTGTCATGCTACCGTTGACCCCTACTTGGTGTTTGGCCATCCTCCATTATACTCGTGGATTCACCATGATATCCTTCCTCCATGTACTTGAGTCACCAGAAAGTGACTCATGGACCTATAAATCTATTATAGTTGTGAAACAGAATTACCTGGAGGGGCGGTAAAAAGTCACTCAGAGCTTGTTACTCCTACAGAGTATGTGAATCTAGGTGCTGAGTGTGGAGGAGTCAGCAGTGTTCTCTCTCCACCCTACTTCTAGTGTCTGGGAAAACACCACTTTTTCCTAGATATTTTTGTTTCCATGTTTTGAATTAGATATTTAGTCCTCCAGAGTTGTTGAAGGAGATGTTTCTCCTTCAGCAGTAATGTGTTTACTTCATTTTGGAGTGCTTGATGTTAAGAATCTAAACCACTCCTCTTTCCCCACCTCACTGATCTCTGTGCTTATAAATAGAGTGACCTAGTCAAGGGTCTGTGTGGAAAGAATGGGGTCTGAAGGTGACTCAGGGATTCAAATACCCTTTGGTCGAGTTGCTCATTTGTTTCAATCCACAAAGGAATGACTTTTTGGCTTTGTCTTGGAACTGCTATTCTGGAAAGAACAGCATTCTGGAAAGATTGGATTGATTTTATGGATTCTAGGGGAGTTTAACAATTGGTGCTGATCAGAGTAATCCTAAAATTTCTTAGGGTTCTGAATCCCTTTGGGGCTGTGCAATCAGCTGGTTTTCCCTTAGGTCCTTAAATATAGGTGTTTCCTGAGGAAGCTTTTCTAAGCTTTCTGTGAACATAGACCAAGTATTTCTCACACTTTTGATGCTTAACAGAGTCTGTTAACTGTCTCCAGTATTGTGTGTTGGCTCTATTAATATTTTGTAGCATTTTAAGAAGTTTCGTGGTGTTTCCATATTGTATTTTGATCATCTATAGACACTTCTTTAAACTTAAACAGGTTATTTGTGCAATAGCAATGAATTTAAAAACCACCAGTATGACTTCTACATTAGAGCTTGGGCTATGAAAACAAAATGTGGGGTACCATGCCTCAGATTACACTAAATTGAGTCGTGTAAGGAATTAAAATGTGTAGTCTTATATTAGGGGAGACACTAACTTCCTGATAAAAATTTGAGAAGTGATGATAGAAAACATTTGGCTGATCTTGGTAGAATGTAAACCTGCCAGGGGCTTAAGATTCGGCTCCTTTCCAGACTGTGCATCCCCAGTGTCTAGAACAAAGCTTGTTATGTAGAAAATGCCTAATACATGTTTGTGGAAATGAGTCCTCCCTATCATGAGGTTTGTCTGAAATGGGACATTCTTCCTAAAATTCTTACATTTATGTCCACTTTATGTTGAAGCCCTTATTTATACTGGAAAGATGAGTATAGAGCCAGACGTTGAATTTTCTCTGGAGTCTAGAAGCTTTCACATTTTAAGATGCTTCTGTTTTAACAGTAATAAAATTTCTGAGTTTTTTTTTTTAAAGATTTTATTTATTTATTCATGATAGACATAGAGAGAGAGAGAGGCAGAGACACAGGCAGAGGGAGAAGCAGGCTCCATGCCAGGAGCCCGACGTGGGACTTGATCCCGGAACTCCAGCATCGTGCCCTGGGCCAAAGGCAGGTGCTAAACCGCTGAGCCACTCAGGGATCCCCAATTTCTGAGTTTATTATTGCATAACAAGCAATATGTAGAAAACTAGCATAACCTAGGTTTTAGGCTTATAGATGAATCATTTGGGAGTCTTTTTTTTTTTTTTTTTTCATTTGGGAGTCTTAATGAGTTCTACTGCTGCTCTGTTTTATGATCTATACGTACCATGTTGGTTCCCAGTATAAATTCATGTTTCGTGTTTTCTGTTTTATGATTTCCATTTCAGATCTCCCTGGAGTTTAGAAATTTGGCTGAGAAATATCAAACAGTGATTGTTGACATTTGCCGGAAAATGGGATTTGGGATGGCGGAGTTTTTGGATAAACACGTAACATCTGAACAGGAGTGGGACAAGGTTAGTGCCTACAAAGCAGTGCCGCATATTCACTGCGAAGTTCAGACTGAGGAATAAAGTTGTCTGCGGTTCCAGGTTTTTGGTTTTACAACCCATTAATTTAGGTTGGCTGTCTCCTCATACACCCTTAACACAGGGGCTTATGGTTGAGTACTTGAAATAACCCATGCCCTAGGGAATTTACCATTCAAGTGGGCCAAAGTAGATAGAACCTGCCCAGGGGTACAAACATTAAGCTTTGAAAAGTGTCTGTGACCTGCAATAAAATTTTAGGTAAGTGGCCAGATTACTTCATGTAATATAGAAATATCTGAGGTTTACAACTCTTAAAAATGTGTTTTTTGTTACTTATTTTTTTCACCACTGAGCATGTGTGTATGTGTACATACCTTAGTATCTGAGCATGTGTGTATGTGTACATACCTTAGTATCTGAGCATGTGTGTATGTGTACATACCTTAGTATCTGAATCAATCTCCAATTCCATCTTAACACAAGATGACTTTTTTTTTTTTTTTAATAAACACAAGATGACTTTTAAACTCAGTGCCCACTTGACCCCATTTGTTGACAAGAAGTAGGTATCAGGGCACCTGGGTGGCTCACTCGGTTAAGTGTCTGCCTTCAGCTCAGATCATGATCCCAGGGTCCTGGGATGGAGCCCCACATGGGGCTTCCTGCTCAGCGAAGAGCCTGTTTCTCCTCCTCCCTCTACCCCTCCCCCTGCTCTAGCTCTCTCTTTCTGTCCCTCTCTCTCTGTCTCTGCCTCTCTCTCTCTCTCTCAAAGAAATAAATCTTGAAAAGAAGTAGGTATTACTTAAACTGTTAAGTGGTATATATGTTTTCGTAGAAACAAAAACAAGTTTATGAGAATTCAGAGGTACTAACTTTGGATCGTGGGTGTGTTGTGCTGAGGCGTGAGCGCTTCTCCAATACCTTACTACTTCCTTTCCCATCATCCCCCTACAGAATTAACACAATAGGAGAAGTTCCAAGTTTCTTAACCTCCCTCCCTCAATTCATATGGCGGTAATAAGCAAATATGTGTGGGGATTAGCAGTGGGAGACCCCACACAGATGAGGTTGTCTTCCTCAGGAGACCTGGAAAGGGATATGAGAGCAGATGATGAGGCAAATAAAATTATAATGGCTTTTATTTGGCCTGAGTTTACTCCTGAGCAGCAGCTGTATAGGATATTGGCCAGGGTGGAAGTAGGGGTTCAGGGAGAAAGTGCTTATCTAGACAAAGGGACCTAATTGACTATGGGTATGACTAAACTAAACATCAAAATACAGGATAGGAAAGAGGGGTCTTGCCCATTTTCCATAGGAATCTTTGGCAGACTTCTTCATCACCCCAGTGGAAGCAAAGACATTTTAAACATCTGAGCTATGTGTGTATTTTGTATCTTTAGGAGTGTTTAAGTTAAGATCTCAGAAGAGAGGCTACTACATATATATTCCTCAGGTGAGTGTAGGTCCAGAGTCTGACCTCTTAATCCTTCAAGCCTTAGATCTTGCTGGCAACGTCTTTGGAACTGTTGGTTTATGCTCTCCAAGTTAGCATGAGTGTGGCTGCTGCTGAATTATCAGCCTATGAATGTAAAGTTAAAGCTGAAACTCCTCCTGGCCAAAAATCAACCCTGGTTAGCTGCATGGTATCTTCCTTTTCTGCCCTACAGACCTATGTCTACAGGAAATATAATGTTAGGTTGTTGAATACAAGTTCTGATTAGGTGAAATTCAATACAATTCAATTTTAATGATTTTTTTAACCCCTTTCAACTTTGGAGGAAAAGGACTACCTCCATTCTAGGAATATTTCTATCTAAAGAATTCTTCTTAAAATAAAATCTGCCTTTCCTTGGGTAGCACTAAGGAAATACTAATGTATTTCATTTTATTTTTTAAAAGATTTTATTTATTCATGAAAGACAGAGAGAGGCAGAGACCTAGGCAGAGGGACAAACAGGCTCCATGCAGGGAGCCCGATATGGGACTTGATCCCGAGACTCCGGGATCATGCCCTAACCCAAAGGCAGTCAACCACTGAGCCACCCAGGCATTCCAGTACTAATGTCTTAATGTCTAGTAATTCTTTTTAAATTTCTTGTAGTTGTCCACAGCTCATTTCTCTATCTCATTTAGCATATCTTTATGCTTTCCAGATTCTTCCTTTCCTAGCCATATTTCAAGTACTTTCTTTTTGGTGTTTCATTGGGCCCCTTGATTAGTCTCTGGCTTTATGTTACTTTTCAACCAGAGGCCCTCCTCTTTGGTCTTTCTCGAACTTTTACCCTTCCTAATGTCCACCCCAGAGGGTACCTTCCTTAACTGCTCTCCACTTCTTAAATTGTGTAATGAGCATTCATTTCATAAGAGTGTTGCTTTAACTTGTCTTGGGAAACTCTTTTCAGGAGAGGATAGCTTTGACAAACCACTTTTACGGGGAAAAAATCCTTTGATGATCAAAAATGACATTTACCAAGATCTCTTTGGAGAAGAGGCAGTTTCAGCAAAGTTGTTAGAGCCTACCTCCTAAGCCACACTGCCTGGCTTTGAGTCACTGGCCTCTGACTTTCAGATGAGTCAGATGAGTGATCTTGGGAAATTAATTGACTGACCTCTAGTTGCCCAGTTTATACATTTGTAAAATAGTGATAGTAATGATACGTGCCTCATAAAGGTATTTGTGAGGATTAAGTATGCAGAGTGCTTAAAACTGGTAAGAACAGAGCCATAGTACTTTGTTCTTCTATGAAATGAAGATTTTGAGACACTGCAAGATCCTAAAGTATCTTTAAGACTAAACTCCACTTCGTATTCCAGTTTCTATTAGAATATTCCTCATTCCCTTATTGCTATCACTCTCAGTTTTAGATATCAGAAAGCTTACTGTACTAGTTTATTTTTTCAATGACTTTTTTTTTTTTTAAGATTTTATTTACTTATTCATGAGAGACACAGAGAAAGAGAGAGAGAGAGGGAGAGGCAGAGACACAGGCAGAGGGAGAAGCAGGCTCCATGCAGGGAGCCTGACGTGGGACTCGATCCCGGGTCTCCAGGATCAGGCCCTGGGCTGAAGGCGGCGCTAAACCACTGAGCCACCAGGCTGCCCCTTTCAATGACTTTTTATTCTAGGAGTAGTACGTTTTCATGCTAGATAGAGAAAAAATGCAGTTGAAAAAAATAAAACCAGCCAGAGATCAGAGATCACTTTTGTTCAATCTTTTGTGCCCATCCTTCTTGGCTGTTTTTTATTCCTTACATGTACATAGTGTATATTTGTGGTTTTTAATCAAAACAAGATCTTGTCCATTCTGTTTGGAACCTGTTTTTGTTTTTATAGCTAATGATCTCTAATATTCCCATTTTAGTAAATACTGCATTATTAAAGTCTTTTAAAAATATTGTTTTACAGTACTGTCACTATGTCGCTGGACTGGTGGGGATTGGCCTTTCCCGACTGTTCTCAGCCTCAGAGTTAGAAGACCCTTTAGTTGGTGAAGACATAGAGTGTGCCAATTCTATGGGCCTGTTTCTGCAGAAAACAAACATCATCCGTGATTATCTGGAAGACCAGCGAGAAGGAAGAGAATTTTGGCCTCAAGAGGTAACAGATTTAGGGGACTTGGGAAAAATAATCATAAATACTTTTCTGAAAACAAAACAAAACTTTTGGTTGGAAGTGATGGAAATGTCGGTTCAAATAGCTTATCCAAATAAAAGAAAGAGAAATTAAACTACCCTGAACAATGTAAGAGGATTTATAAAACAAGTTATGACTTAGTTTGCTTCAAGGTAGACTGGCCAAGTCCAGGGATTCAGATTATATACGTAGTCATACACAAACATACACACTCTTACACAGAAGCTCTCTTTTTTTGTTACCTCTAGGATGGGCTTTCTCCAAGTGATGGATATAACAACTCATGACTCACAATCTACTGGGTTAATAAAAAATTTCTTAGGAAGGCCCAGTTGGTGGGGCTTGGATCCTGTGCCCATCCCATAATAAGTTACTATAGCCAGAGGGCTGAGTTCTCTGGCCAGCCCTGGATTCTGTCTTCCTAGCACACATAGATTGGATTCTTCCCCAAAAAGGATTCTATGGCAGGAGGGAGGAAGATGTTAAATAGGCAAAAACTACAGGATGTTCATTATAAGGGACAGGAGTTGATCTTTGACTTAATTTTAAGAAATGGATAGGGAAGGGCAGGGATTGGACATGGGCTTTATTCAGAAGGAAAGCTAGAAAATCCTATGACTGTTTCCTGATTTTAATAATCCAGCATTTGCCTATTGCTTTCCATAAAATGGTTCTCGAAATCAAGTGCTTTTAATTTTTGAAAGATTGTATTTATTTGAGAGAGAGACAGTATGAGTTGGGGGAAGGGACAGACAGTATCAGTTGGGGGAATCCCAGGTGGATTCCTGTGTGGGCAGGTTAGCAAAAGAGCTCATGACCACCCTTCCTTTGACACCACAGCTCAGTTAAGGGAGGGGATTTGTGTAAGGACCCTCAGTGAGTCAGTGGCCACCTAAAAGGGTCGCCTCAGTCTGCTGAGTCTCAGCCAGAGTCTCCCCCATACCACACTGCCTAACACACAGGGGCATCCCTCCAGTGTGGTCGTAAGCACCAGCTCTGTAGTCCTGCACACAATTTATTTCCCTCTTCTCTGAAATTGAATTGTTAGACCACAGGGTGGTGGTGTGAATAAAATGAGCTGAACTTTTAGCCAGACTGGTTACTAAATGTCAATTCAAATAGCTTGACCAAAACAGAGATTAAAGAGCCCTGAGATACTATTTCTTGTTTAGGATTGGCAAAAAGTCCTAAATTTGATAATCCCTGAATAGGACTGGGGACACGAACACTCTGTTTGAAAAAAAACATTCTGTTTGTGTGCTTGGTGAGAGTCCCCTGATACAAACAACCCTGAGAGCTGGCCTCTTGGCAAGTGGATAATATGGGAAGTTATTGATCCACCTTTGTTTCTAATAGTTACATTTTATAAACCACTCAGATATTCATCTATACAGGACTGATTGAATGAACTATGGTATATTCACCTGGTGGAGGACAAAAAGAACTATACTATGATGGAGTAATCTCCAGGTTATATTATTAAGTGAAATAAAGCAAGGTGCACAGCAGCATAGTTTATTTTATTATTATTATTATTATTTTTTTTTAAGATTTTATTTATTTATTCATGATAAACAGAGAGAGAGAGAGAGGCAGAGACACAGGCAGAGGGAGAAGCAGGCTCCATGCCGGGAGCCTGATGCGGGACTCGATCCCGGGACTCCAGGATCATGCCCTGGGCCAAAGGCAGGCGCTGAACCACTGAGCCACCCAGGGATCCCCAGCAGTGTAGTTTAAACAATAGGAGAAGCCAAAACATAATAAAATGTGATTAATACTGTTACTGAAATATTGAAACTATTACAGAAACTTTTGTAACTAATAGCAAATAGGCAGTTGTGTTCCTGTCAGTTGAGGAACCAAGATTTTTAGTCTAAAGTAAAAGGTACAAATATAAAACTATGAGTTAAACAAAACTCCCATAATCCTAAACTGAATTGGAAATATCAGTCTGAACTCCTGTTCCAGATTCTCTTAAAAAAGAAAAAGTCCAGCTCTATCTATGAAGAGGTATAGAAAGAAACCAGCGGTAGTATGTACTGCTGGTGTATCAGTTTGGTCTTTTAATACCATTTCACTCTATGGAATAGTGGGGGCAGGAAATATACAAAATGAGCTTGGAATACACTGTCATCCCAGGAAAGAAGGTAGCTATCAAAGTGAAAAGTACAGGATCCAATTTAAAGGGGCTTTCACTGGCTGCATATGGAATAGTTTGAGTATCAGAAAGAATAACCGCAATGGCTTAAAACACATCAAATGTATTAAAATCTAAAGAAAAATAAGCATGCGCCTCTTGAAAGATATTGGTGTGTTCCCTTATCAAGAGGTATGTAATGTCGATCTTTGCCAACTTTTGGTGTTAGCAGTTGTTAGGCTTCATGCCTAGTTCTGTTAATTTATTGTGATTACAAAACAGTATTTTTAAATTGCTACTCTATTGAGACAGTTTACATACTATCCAGTTTATCTTTCTAACATTTTTAGTGTTTTTGTTGTGTTTTGTTTTGTTTTTAGTATGTTCACTGAGTTGTGCTCCTATCACCACAGTTAATTTCAGGACATTTTCATTTTTCCAGAAAGAAACTCCATGCCCACTAGCAGTCACTATTTTCCCCTGGTGTCTACTCCCCAGCCCTCGTTAACCAACCTTCTTCTTCCTGTCTTTGTAGATTTGCCTGTTTTGGACCTTTCATGTATAAAAGAATCATACAATATGCGACTGACTTCTTTCACTTAGCATAATGTTTTCAAGGTTCATCCATGTGCCATGAGAGATACACAGAGAGAGAGAGAGAGAGAGAGAGAGGCAGAGACACAGGCAGAGGGAGAAGCAGGCTCCATGCAGGGAGCCTGATGTGGGACTCGATCCTGGGTCTCCAGGATCACACCCCGGGCCGAAGGCAGGCGCTAAACCGCTGAACCACCCGGGCTCCCCTCATCCATGTGCTAGCATGTATTAGTACTTCATTCCTTGTTATAGTCAAATAATATTCATTTGTATAGGTAGGCCATATTTATCCATGCATCAGGTGAGGAATATTTGGATTGTTGCCACTTTTTTATTATTAATAATTCTGTGAACATTTGTATACAAGGTTTTGAGTGGACGTGTTTCCATTTCTCTTCAATATATACCTAGGAGAGGAAATGCTGATTCATATAGCTACCAACCTTTTAAGGAACTGCCAGACTTTTTCCCACAGTGACCGTACCATTTTACCAGTCCTGCCAGCAGTGTGTGAGGGTTCCAGTTTCTCCTCCTCTTTGCCAACACTTATTATCTTTTTTTATGTATGTGTATGACATCTTTTTATTGTGGTAAAGTTTACGTAATATAAAATTTACCATTTAAACTAAGAGTTACACAATAACAGCCTACGCCTTCTCCCTGTTATCTGTCTTTTTGATTCTACCCATCTTCATGGGTGTCAAGCGGTATCTCATTGTGGTTTTGATTTGCAGTCTCTGATAGCTAATGATGTGGAGCATTTCATGTGTTGATTGGCCATTTGTATATTTGCTTTGGAAAAATACCTATTTGGGTACTTATCCTGAAAACTACTAAAATACTTTCAGATATTTTCATGATGTTGTTTGTTGTTACTATTGAGTTGTAAGGGTTCTTTCTACTTCTGGATATAAGTCCCTTTTTTATCAGATACTTGACTTAGAAATATTGTCTCGCATTCTGTGGGCTAACTTTTTTCTTCTTTGATGATGTCCTTTGGAACATGAGAGTTTTTAATTTTGATGTGGTGTAATTGATTTAGTTTTCTCTTTTGTTATTGTGTTTTTGGTGTCATATGTAAGAAACCATTGCCTAATCTAAGGTCATGAAGATTTATGCCTACATTTTCTTCTAAGAGTTTTATAGTTTGAGCTCTTACATTTAGGGCTTTGATCCATTTTGAGTTAATTTTTGTATGTGGTGTGAGGTAGGGGTCCAGTTTCATTTTTTTGTGTGGGTGTCCAGTTGTCCCAGTACTGTTTGTGGAAAAGATTGTTCTTTCTTCATTGAATTATTTCAGCACCTTGTTGAAAATCAGTTGACCCTAAGTGAAGGTTTATTTCAGGACTTCCAATTTTATGCCATAAAGTAATTTTTAATTCTATAATTGTGTCTTCCTTTATTAGCTGGACTGATTTAACTCCCCTCCTTTACTATTTGCTTATTGAATGGTACAGTTGATGTATGGAAGGCAATATATATATTTAATTCTTTTCTTTACCAAGCTTTTAAGATAATGAATTTTCTTTCATCCTCATAAGGTGACCAATTACTTATTTTTTGCTATCATTATAAACTCAGGGATTAAAACATACTTGATTTGGTTTAATCTGCCATAATTATTCTCATTACTAAAGTTCAGAATTTCCCTCCTTTGGTTGGGAAGAAGTTCAGGTTGGCTCCTGAGTCCCCATGAGGGGACCCTTTGAGCGCTTCCTTGCCATTTGGTATGTGAAGATGTTCTAAGCTCATTTTGTACATTTCTTGCCTGAGCTCTGGATTCATCCAGCTCTTCAGGAAGCCTAGGTAAGACACCTGGGCTAATGGGAAATAGTAACCAGCAGTGCACTTGGCTACTAGGAATAGTCATTGCTCTTGGGGTAGTCATCGTGTGTGTGCGTTTAGTTTTAAAACTAAAATATCTTGGGATGCCTGTGTGGCTCAGTGGTTGAGCATCTGCCTTTGGGTCAAGGCATGATCCTGGAGACCCGGGGTCGGGTCCCACATCAGGCTCCTTGCATGGAGCCTGCTTCTCCTCCCTCTGCCTATGTCTCTGCCTCTCTGTGTGTGTGTCTCTCATGAATAAATAAATAAAATCTTTAAAAAAAAAACTAAAATATCTTGTAAGTTGGTACTGATATTTCCAGTTCACACATTCAGGACTGTCAGCTTGTTACATAATCTCCTCTGTATTACATCTCTACTTCATTGCTTCCTCATGGAGATTCAGAGATGCCAGAATTAGTATATGCCATAATTACTCATTTGCTTTTTTTCCCCCACATTACAGATCCTGCCATCTCTTAATAGTGATGCTAATGCTACTACCACCAAATATGATTACTGAAAATAATTGAAAAAATGTTTTTGCACATGCCATACTAATTCCCAATTTCTTATGATTGTGTTCATATCTGAATTGGCAGAGCAAGTAGCTATGGCAACCATAATAATGTTTAATGTTTAGCTTGCAGTACTGTTGTAGCTGATTTTGTATCTATCTGGTTACTTCTTTCAGGAGTAGACTAATGCCTTTCTGAATAACAGGAATCCTCTTTATCTGAAATCATCAAAGTATTGCTTAGTACACGCTTACTAAATGTCCCTGAGACCATTTCCCAAATACTTAACTGACTCCTAGGCTGTGATCAGACCCTGACAGGTTGTCATAAATAGCTACCGCATGGAGCTTAAAACAGACTTGATCTTGGGGAAGGATGAGTCCGGAGCTAAGAAAAATGTTACTGTATATCATAGTTCTTACTCATGAATATTCTCTCCTGTTGCTTGTACATCCTTCCCTTATGCACATGCTATAACTTATTTTTAAGGTTTGGAGCAAGTATGTTAAGAAGTTGGGTGATTTTGCTAAGCCACAGAATATTGACTCAGCCGTGCAGTGCCTGAACGAACTTATAACCAACGCACTACACCACATCCCACATGTCATCACTTACCTCTCAAGACTTAGAAACCAAAGTGTGTTTAACTTCTGCGCTATTCCACAGGTATGCAGTGGAACTATCTTGTAGATGAGAGGTGGGAGCTAAAAAGAGTGGCATGGGGGTAGTGATGGGGATGGAGAGAATGCATGTACTATTTTGGTTTGCTTGCATTTAGGAATATGGTTCCTTGAAAAGATGACTCTGGTCTATTTTCTTTTGCCGAGGGGGAAGCAGGGAGTGTTTCACCACACCTTTTCTCTGCCCCACAGCTACCACACCCAGCCAGCCTCATTAGATCCTTAGTATTACAATTAAATCTAAGGCTTTGGCTTAGATTTACTGGGAATGCTGGGTAAAATGTAGGTGAAGGTTTGTCATTACAGAGTCTTACTTATGCGCCTAGTTTTTGCTGTCCTTTTCTCAGACTCAGGATAATGGAACCTGATACTATGGACCTAGCCCCTCAGTCCTCTAGAAGCTTACGCTTTTTAATTGCCTTACCAGTTATTTTATTTTATTTTTTAAAAGATTTTTATTTATTCATTCATGAGAGACACACAGAGAGAGAGATGGAGACCCAGGCAGAGGGAGAAGCAGGCTCCATGCAGGGAGCCCGACGCGGGACTGGATCCCGGGTCTCCAGGATCACGCCCTGGGCCAAAGGCAGGCGCTAAACCGCTGAGCCACCCGGGCTGCCCTTTACCAGTTATTTTAGTTTTCAACTCAAGTACATGCAAGTCATGAGATTTAACTGATTTAGAAACTTGATTTGAAAAAAAAAAAAAAAGACACTTGATTTGATCTTTTTTTTAAAGATTTTATGTATTTTTTTGAAAGAGAGAGAGTGTGTAGGAGACTGGGGGGAGCATCAGAGGGGAGAGGGTGAAGCAGACTTCCCACTGAGCAGGGAGCCTGACTTGGGATTTGATCCCAGGACTCTGGGATCATGACCTGAGCCCAAGGCAGATGCTTAACTGACTGAGCCACCCTGGTGCCCATTGATTTGATCTTTTAAGGACCAGTCTTGAGTGGTTATTGGAGCTAAATTCTGCATGCCTGACTTAGGTTCCCATTTACCCTAGAGATAATTTGCCTATGAGCATTGGGGACTATGCCCCCTTCCCATTTCCCCCCCACTCCCTCCATGTTATTTTTCATGTGTAATGGATATGTTCATTGTAGGAAAAATAGAAAATTCTTTGTAAATATTATTTTGAGATACATTTTTTGGACCTCTTATTACTCTAGCATGGAAAATGACTTACAGGCGTAATGCTTGTGTTTTTCCAAATAAAAAGGGGTCTTTGGGGTTAAACCAAAGAATCATTTAAGACTTCAAAGACCACTTGATTCTATGTGTAGTTGGAGAAAGGACGAGTGGGAAAGGTCCAAGTTTTGACATGCTTTTTTCTTTGGTATTTTTTCTTGGTTAGTTATACCTTAGCCCTTTGGACATGTTCTTATTCTACAGAAGATTTTTTTCACCTTTTCATAATGGTGATTGTTTAGAGTGCCATTTCATACTTTTTTTCATGAAATTAGTTGAATTAGTGTTTTGTTTTGTTTTTTTTCCTCTCTCTCCCTCCTTCTATCTGTAGGTGATGGCCATTGCCACTCTGGCTGCCTGTTACAATAATCAGCAGGTGTTCAAAGGTATAGTGAAGATCCGAAAAGGGCAAGCAGTAACTCTAATGATGGATGCTACCAATATGCCAGCGGTCAAAGCTATAATATACCAATATATGGAAGAGGTGAGTTTTCGTTTAACTACCTGGAGAATTTGTAGCTATTTTTAGGATTTAAATATTATCACTATTTAAATAGTTCATATTTGGATGTTAGATCATTGTTAACGACTCACTGTATTATGGTATAAAGAGACAGGAGTTGGTGTCCTGCATCAGGAAAAAATGTGTACTCAGGTTGCTGATGGTTCTGATCCGTACAGCACGATAGTGAGAGGGTATAAATGCAGTAAACCCTTAGGGTGGAGCCCCTCAGTAGGATCAGATTTTTGGAGGGGGATGATGGTGTTAGAAGCCAACCAGTCTTCTTGGTTTATGGGTGAGGAAGGTGAAGCCGAGGCTTGTGCATGCTAATATAGTATCTGACCTAGTGGATCTCGGACTCCAGGCCACGTTGCCTGACACTCAACCTGGTACTTCCCATTATTTCATGGGCTCTAACTGAGAAACCACAGTAGGAAATTTCAGTGAAGGAAAACCATCATGTTGCAATGATTTCTCAACTTTCTAATGCAAATCTCATTTCAAATGCCAAAACCACACTATAAAACAAAACATATTGGTGAAGTCAAATCTCCTGCTGTGGGAGATACAATATGACTAGGTTCAAAAAACTTTTTCTTAGAGGCTAAAACTAATCACCAGGCCTTAGAGCAGTAGTTCTTAATTGAAGGTGCACTCTCTCCCCACCAAGGGGCATTTGGCAATGTCTGGAGACATTTTTTATGATCGTCACACTAAGGAGGGAGGTGGCTTCTGATGAGTGGAGGCCCTGCGATCCTTAGGTATGTTCTACTGAAGATTGAACTACTACTACAGAAATACATGAAACCAAAAGACCTTCTACCTTCTCTCCCAGAGATAACCACTGCTGTCAATAGTTTTCTGCCTCCTTCCCATCCTCCTTCCCATCCCTTTACAGGGATGTGATTTGTAATAGTGGTTTCCCCTAAACAGAATTCTGCAAGACCATGATTTCCTCTGATTTCTATTGCATTTTGCACATTTTCCTTGGAGTTCCTACCTGTCTTCTATCTGACAAGCTTTGGACCTTGGCATTTCTACCAGAGGCACCAGAGAAGACATAAGAGAAGATCACATTTTTTTTTTTTAATTCTAAAATTTTTTAGTGACTAGATAAAGTGTTCGTTCAGCCAGTGACCAAAAAATTGCTACTATTGAGATTTGGGACAGTCCGGTTCACCGTAAATTGCCAGCACTTCCTCTGAGTTCCCTGTGTGCCTGGCATAGCAACTGAATAGTAGGTGGGTACTATTAATATCAAGGAAACCTGAGGCTGGAACCACGATTTGGACCGAGATCTGGCTGACTTCAGAGCCTACGCTGTTCACTACAATCCTAAGGGGTTTGGATTACCCTTTCTGAACTGAATGGTGCCATATTAGACACTTTTCCTCCATTTTATATAAATTGGAAACCTTTTGTGTAGTTTGTAGTTCAGAGAAGATTTTAGTTCTGTAGTTTTATACTGACCACTAATTTTAGAGAACGATTTTTTTTTAAATGTTGTAGATAGTTCCATTACTCTCTTAAGATTCAGATTTTATCTGATGTTTTCTTTAACCATCGGAATTAAATCCTAGTTGTGATTCAGTTTGATTTAGGGTACAGGTAGGCAAACTACAGCTGGCTGCCCTACACCCTCATAAATAACATTTTATTAGAACACAGCCACACCTGTTTGCTTTTGCACTGTCTATGGGTGCCTCATGATACAGCAGCAGAGTTGAGAGGCTGCAACAGAGGTGGCCCACAAAACTGAAAATATTTTCTGGCCCTTTAAGAATGTTTGCAGACCTCTGATTTAAAGCACCAGTTGTTTAAAAGTACTCCAGTGAAACTCAAGGTAATTTGGGGAAGACATTAATACTTGAGTTGATTTGATTTAGAAAAATCTCTGAAGACTTCCGAATGTGAATGAATAAAATGTAATAATAACTTTGATGTCAACATGAATGAAATTTCAAGTTAAAACTTTTTGTGTCAAGTCCAGAAGTTGTCTGGCTTTTTTTTTTTTTTTTTTTAAGATTTTATTTATTTGTTTTGAGAGAGAGCACAAGCAATGGGGAGAGGCAAGGGCAGAGGGAGAAGGAGAATGGGGCTCCATCCCAGCACCCCAGGATCATGACCTGAGCCAAAAGCAGACACTTAAGACTGAGCCACCCAGGCGCCCCAGTTGTCTGGGTTTTTGCTGCTGTCCAAATTTTAACACTGAATCCTACTTCTCCTCACTGATCAAGTTTGTTCTTTATGGGAAGACAGGAAGGCACATTTATTCTCTCAGGTGTTGGGGCCTAACTGGTGGTCACAGTAATGCACTTGCAGGGGACTTTAAAGCTTTCCTCACGCAACCTGACTGCTTAAAGGAAGAGTTAGAGTGACAGCCGAACCGGCTGAGTAGGTGGACACTGCTCCTCAGTGTCCTGCGTCCTCTGGAGCAGCCACAGCTTCAAACCAGTCTGGACACCTGTCAGCTGGCGAGAAGCTCAACCAGCTATTTTGGGACCAAAACAAATGCTCAGGCCAACAGCCAGAAACTATTATTTCCTTCTCTGCCAATCCTCATTCCTTGGCGAGGGCAATATTTTTCAAGTTGACACAGCTTCCTGTTTCACCCTGCACTGTGGTTCATCTGGAGCATTGTCCTGCCCATCAAGCCCTTTCTAAGCTCACGACTCACAAGTATGGTCCTCCGGTCAGCCACATCAGTGGCCCCTGGCCACTTGCTAGAATCTCACCCCTACTCAAACCCATTGAATCAGAATCTGCCTTTACCAGGATCCGCAGGTGACACCTGTGAACCCAAAGTCTGGAAAGCACTGTTGTAATCCCCATCCTCTCCTGAGCTGGCTCTGCCTTTTCACCATGTGAAGAAGTGTGAGCTAATGTGCTGTGAAGCCCCTCCACGCCTCTGTGTCCACCTCTGCTGTGGGAGCCTACCCCCTGCATGTCCACGCTCCTGCTCCCCACTGTCGCCCCCTCAGGGTCGGCGGCCTCTTTATCTGCAGCTCCACCAACCGCCCCACTCTAGTCACTCCTCTAGTGTATGTGTGCTCAGGCCACTCTGCTTAAAAAGTGGGCACATCACTCTCAAAAAAAGTGGGCACATCGTGACCCTGGCCTGGCTTTGTTGTTCTTTACCTGCTCTCCTCCCCCTTCTCCCTCACAGTTAAGCTTCTCAAAAGATACGTATACTTCATGTTATTTATTCCTCCTTTTTCAACCCACCTCATGCTAGCTAGCTTTTGTTCCTATCTTGTCATTAGAACTTTTCTTACTGAACTGTTTTGATGACCTTCTAATGACCAGTTTTTTAAGTGTCCCTGATCCCACTGTACTGTTTGACAATGTGGTTCTTTTTCACCTCGAAAGCCCTTTCCTCTCTTGGCTTTTGTGACACTCATCCCCGGTTTAACCTCTTACCTGTCTGTCTACTCCTTTGCCTTTCTGACTCCTTACACTGTTATTTCCCAGAGTTCTGTCTTAATTTTCATTTTCTTTCACTGAGCAAAAGCTTTCTGGCATTCTCTTTGGTGGCCAGGCTTCTTCCTCCACCACATGCTCATTACTCCTGACTTGATTACTCCAGCTCAGGACTTGGTCATAACCTTTTTTTTTTCTGGTTAATGACATTACCATTTGCCTGATCAAGCAGTCCAGATAACCCAGGGTCCTCTGTTATTCTCTCTAAGCCTGATGTATAGGCATCTCCCTTTTCTGCCTGTTGTACCTATGGACTTTCCTACTCCTCAGAATTTTGCGTGCATTGCCCTCTGACCAAGCAATTCTAGGACTTTACATACAAAATTAACCAGAAAATGTGCAAAGGTGCTTATCGTAGCATTTTGTCCTCAGTCCTCATTGGGAATGAATTGATTAAACTATTAGAGTACATTTGCATTATGCGGCTTGTGTTTAAAACTGGAATGAAAAAAATAAAAAATAAAAAATAAAACTGGAATGACATCATTTTCTAGGTTCTGGCATTAAGAGATGTCCATAAAAAATTATTTAAGTGAAAAAAGTGAAATTGCAGCATAATATATTTATAGTCTATTTTTAAAATAAAATTGTGGGGGGCTCATGACCTGAGCTGAAATTAGATGCTTAACTGACTGAGCCACCCAGGGGCCTCTCTATTGCTTGTTTTTAAGAGCATTACTCCATCATGTAAAATTTTTTTTAAAAGAAAGTAGAAAGGAAATTGCAGTTTCATCCCTGCTTATGTTTTTCTCTCTAAAGCTACTCTTGGTAGCATAATATTAGGTATTAGATATCATTAGCATATTTCTTTCTTTCTTTTTTTTTTTTAATGAGCTTTATGCCCATTGTGGGGCCTGAACTCATGACCCCAAGATCAAAAGTCACATGCTGTCTTGATGTAGCAGCCAGCCCCTTGTAGGCATATTCTTTTATTTTCTTGTTATACTAAATTGCAGCTGGGCCTTTTTGGTGGGGAGGTAGGAGGGTGGCAAGAATATGAAATATGTCTGTGAAAAAACATGCCCATTATATAATGGAAATTTATGGAAAAAATTATTTAAAAATATGCCTGCTCTGTTGTCTGCTTCCTCTTTGCCTCTGTCTTGGATCATTCCCACTTCTCACCTCCATCATCTCTTAACTGCTCTGTCAGTTTGAGTCAGTGACGATTTGTGCAGGGCCTCTTGTGTGCCAGGCACAGAGCTGGGCAGGAGGCAGAAAGATGAGGCGTGGTGCCTTTGAGTCTTGCAGTCTAGGGAGACACAGAGGATAGCTGAATTCAGTGTTAAGCGATAAGGCGGCACATGGCCCAACTGAGGGATTCAAGGCAGGTTTTCTAGAAGACCTGATACCTAAGCTGAGACTTGGGCAACAGGTGAGAGTTGGCCGGGTGAAGGAGCATAACAGGGGCATTCTAGGAGGGGGGAATGATGTGAGCGAGGAGCAGAGCATCACACTTGTGAGACAACGGTCAGCAGTTGAAAGTTCAGACCCTCAGCAGCTGATTGGGAGCCACTGAGGGTGTCAAGCAGAAGCCTTCACTTTCTTTGGTGACGGTATGGAGAGCAAGCGAGTGGACTTGAGGGTTCCAGTAGAGTCAGGAGCTCAGTTTGGAGGCTGGTCATAGCTCAGCCGAGAGGCTTGGAGGGCCTAGCCCGCAGCAATAACTGTGAGCATGGAGGTGAGGCCTGGGTTCAGCAAATGCTTTGGAGGTTTGTGGAGGGGTAGGAGGGCAGGGCCCCCGAGAGGACTCTAGGATGACTACTCTCCGGCTTCCAGCTTCTGCTCTGGCCTTTCTGCATCTAGCCTGTGGCCTACACCATAGATCCGTCTTGTTTGGCTGCGTTTGCCCAGTCTCTCCAGTATCCTTTCCCCTCTCCATGTTGCTCTGCTCCAGCACAAACTCTGCGGGCGCAGCCAAGCTCCCCCTCTGTGCCTCGCTCTGTGAGGCGTTGTGGACATGAAGATCAGTGAGGACCTGGGGGCAGGGACTCCCTGGTGCTCCCGAGGACCGGCTGTGGGACGAGGCCAGCCTCAGTGGACATCCTGCCTACTTGTCAGGTGGCTTTGGGTTATTCCATTCATGTCCTCATTGGTAAGATGGACATAAAATACCTACCTGTTGAGGGTTATCATAAGAAGTAAACACAGAAGATGCTTATAAAGTTCCTAGCACCCAGTAGTGCCACTTACTGCTTTTTCCTTTCTTTCACAGATTTATCATAGAATCCCCAGCTCAGACCCATCTTCTGGTAAAACAAGGCAGATCATCTCTACCATCAGGACACAGAATCTTCCCAATTGCCAGCTGATCTCCCGAAGTCACTACTCCCCTATTTACCTGTCGTTTGTCATGCTCTTGGCCGCCTTGAGCTGGCAATATCTGAGCACCCTGTCCCAGGTCACAGAGGACTATGTTCAGACTGGAGAACACTGATGGCTATCAGTCCAGAAGCTACAGTTCATCACGGATCGACCTTTTCTTCAAGAGAAAGGATATCAGTACACCCCCCCCCTCCCTTTTTTCCCTTCCTGCTTTAATCCCTGAAAGAACTTGGTGGACTTGGGACTTTTAGAAACTGTGACAGGCAGTCGAGAAGCTAAGAATAAAAGGGGTGGATACGTCCCCCTCAGCAAGCAGGCACTTGTGGGCAGCACTCACCTCCGTGCGGTGGCAGCAACGGAGCGCTCCTGGCTGCCCGTCAGGGGAAATGGTTGCTTATGGGGCTGCCGAGAGATATTTAGGGTGAATCCTGGCTAGAATCATAATTAAATGTATTTAATTTGAAGCAACCTTGGAATACATGTCCTTGTGGAAAGTGAAGTGAATTTTCTCAGTTGGATTCCCATTTTTCTCATTTTGCTTTCTCCAATCGATCTGAATGTAGTAGGTGTCAGTGTTTGTGGGTCTAGGTAATGGCCTCATGTTTCCTAAGAATGCAGACTGTCTTCTGCCCATGAAGACTAAGGACTGATTCGGGGCGGGGGGGTGTGTTCTGGAATTGCTTCCTCATTTAAAAGTTTAGCTTTCAGAAAGACTGCAGGACTGCTTTGGGCCCCATCGTAGAAGATTGGCCTCCAGTTAAGGCTGACTTTTTGAGAAGACATCATATATAAAGATGTGTTTATAATAAAGATCTGAATTACTTTTTTTTTTTAATTTTTATTTATTTATGATAGTCACACACAGAGAGAGAGAGGCAGAGACACAGGCAGAGGGAGAAGCAGGCTCCATGCACCGGGAGCCTGACGTGGGATTCGATCCCGGGTCTCCAGGATCGTGCCCTGGGCCAAAGGCAGGCGCCAAACCGCTGCGCCACCCAGGGATCCCAAGAACTGAATTACTTTGTATTTGTCGAGGGCGGCTTACTCGAAAGCCTGGACATGCATGGCCAATAGGAGCTCAAGAATGGAGTTAGTGATGGAAGGACTGATGGCTGTCTGCTGCCAGCACACAGCCAGCCAGGGAGGTACCAAGGAGAAGGGTCCGGCTGCCCGGCCTCTGCATGGCTCTGCCTGCAGGAAATGAGCATGGGGCAGCCTTGCTTCACTGGCCAGCCGGCTCTCACTTAGCTCCATGCAGATGTTATCACATCTAGGGATTGTGTTTGTGGGTTTTTTGGTCTTTTGTTTCTTTTTTAAAAGAATCTGTTTCTATACTGAAGCCTCAAGAAAAGCAAAAAGTGTTTTCAGGCGATGGGCTAGAAAGCCGAATGGCATTTAGCCAAATTCTTCCGGCACCACTGTTTGCCTTGTCTTTAGCCACACACAGCGGGGGGTGGTGTGAGGTGCGCTCACTCGTGACTACTGCAAATCAGCCTGGGCCCCGGAGGACGCGGCCCCTCTTTCTACGGTGGTTTGAAAAAGCCCCTCAAGCTGAGGCATCCCCATTGTGGGGGCATTAAAGGACTTAATGGGAGCCGTTATGCTCAGTGTACATAGTCTATAGTCTACTCTCCTGCTGCAGTCCTTCATGTATGGTGATTAATCACCAAGCTGAGGGCTTTCTCCAGCAGTAGTGCTGGCCTCGAATTGTACTACACAGACTCACATTGATTTTCTTCCTGCTGCTGCCACCTGATGCAGTGGCTTAGTTTGGGTCCCTGGAAGCTGCTGTTAACTGGTTCATTTGAAGCTCAGCTCTGGACAAACTGGTCACCACCACGCTGAAGCCAGTCATTTGCCACGTGGAGTATGGCTATGAGCCAGACTCAACAGTAATTTTCCAGGTATTTTAAGCATCAGAACTTGGTTTGAGATCCCAAGGTAGGTTGTTAGAAATTTGTGTTGAGGTGCCAGATGAGTTCTGCTATGGCCCATGTAGGACAGAGGACAACCTGGTGGAGAGTCTTGGTCTGAGGTGGATGTATGGCTCAGTAATGACCTGTGGGACGTTCTGAGCTTCTGTATGGTTTAGAAGATCTCCTAGGTTCCTCCTCGCCATAAAATAACTTTTACTGTCACTGACTTCTGCAAAGTCTAAGCTCTTATGCCCACTCTTGAGTGCTTTAGATGATTTTTCTTCTAAAAATATTTCTCTTAAAATTGCCAGATAAAATACAGGATGCCCAGTTAAGCTTGAATTTTAGACACACTAGGTTTCTTTTTTTTTAGTATAATTATGATCCAAATATTGTAAGGACCTATTCCTCCTAAAAAATTACTTGCTCTAAAATTCAAATCTAATTGAGCATCTGGTTTTTGTTAAATGTCGCAACCCCACCCTCTGCTCCACACTTTAATCAAATGTATAGCATCTCTGGCCTACAGTCTACTTGATTTCTACTTACAGTGGAATATTTTAGCTTTTCCTCAGAGGAGTATTTGACCCATCTGAATCTAGGGATCTAAATTTAATAAAACTCCGTTATGTTACAACAGACCGGAGTAGGAGCCCGATCTCCACATATTGGGAGCCTTCTAGAGCTCCAGGTTAAAGCTGCACATGTGCATCCCCATCTCCCTTTGGGAAAGTACTTGGAGCATTACCTGGAAGCCCCATTCTATCACAACCATTCCTCTGGGGCTGGCACACCCATGTGTGTAGGGGAGGAGGGAACTAGCCATTTGTTAATTATCCTTAGTCATTTTGGAAGCAGAGTGCTAAAGCTGTGGTTCTCAAACGTTAAAATCTGAATTGCCTGAAGGCCCCAGATTGCTAGGACCATTTGTCTCTCAGGTCTGGGGAGTACCCCCAAACTGACATTTTTAACAAGTTCTCCGGTGATACAAATGCTGCTGGTTAGGAGCCCAGTTTGAGAACCACTGCTCTAAGGCCTTATTTTTCAAGCTTTAACGAACATATGAATCATCAGGAGTCTTGTTAAATTGCAAGGGCAGACTCAGAGGTCTGGCCCAAACTCTACGTTTCTAACAAGCTGCTAGGCGATGCCCACGCTTTTGGTCTGACGCATTTTAGAGTGGAAAGGGTTCGAGTACATGCACAAACTTCTAAGTCTAAACTAAAACCGTGCCCTCCTCCAGATAGTGAAGAAGAAGGCACAGTCCCTTCCATCAATCATCTCGTTTGGACAGGCAACCAAGAAAAAGCACCCCACCCGTTGAACTGAGGTGACACGTGATCAATTAGGTAATTTGAGATTTAAGTATTGACATCGATCCCAACGCTAAATAAGCATAGCTGGTTTTGTTTTCTAACAAAGAGTCCTAAACTAAGTGTGCAGATGCCCTGTAGTTCCTTTGGGTTCTTGTGGTAGCACGACTCTGCACGCATCTTTGTGGGCTTTCCGGGTGAGTGCAAGCTGCTGGTGGGCACGGGGTGGAAATGGGATTATCCAACTGTCAGGGAGCAGGTCAAATTTATCAGAACTACACTGAGGTAATGAATGTCTCCTCACTGAAATTTAAGAATAAAGTCATTGCAAAAAAAAAAAAAAGAATAAAGTCATTGCAAATGTGTGGCTTTGGTAGCCTTTGTTAAGCACTTAAAAATTTGTGAAACCTAACTTCATACTTAAGTTTTTCATCTTAATTCCAGGTCTCACAGCTTTTCCCTTTCATATTTACCAGGTGTTTAAGAGCTTATCTAACAAGGCAGTTTCTGAGCCCCTCCCCCCCCTTTTTAAAGATTTTATGTGTTTATTCATGAGAGACACCGAGGGAGAAGCAAGCTCCCTGCTGGGAGCGTGACACAGGACTCGATCCCAGGACCCTGGGATCACGTCCTGAGCCAAAGGCAGACGCTCAACCACTGAGCCACCCAAGTGTCCCCTGATCCCTAACTCCTAATTCCCATCAGAAGTCAAACTTCCCGTGCTTCTGGAGCTAGCCCAACCCTAGGCTGGGAAAGAAAGTCAGGTGCTGACAGGCCAGTGGGATGGATGCAATCCTTCCAGTTTCCTCTGTTCCCTCAAGAACTCCTGTACTTCACTGTTCAGGATTCTTTTTTTTTTTTTTTTTTAAAGATTTATTTATTCATTCAGAGAGAGCGAAGAGAGAGGCAGAGACACAGGCAGAGGGAGAAGCAGGCTCCACGCAGGAAGCCTGATGTGGGACTCGATCCTGGGTCTCCAGGATCACGCCCCAGGCTGCAGGCGGCGCTAAACCGCTGAGCCACCGGGGCTGCCCACTGTTCAGGATTCTTAACCAGGACCATGCAGAGCAACGCTTCATAACCAGCAATGTAACCCAGAGACAGGGAGCTCAGCATACAACATGCAGGCTCTGCTCCCACCCCGTCCCAGCATCGGAGGGGACCAGGGCCACCGTGGTCCTCCACTAGGACAGCTGGGCTCCGGCATCATGCATTAACCGTGCTTAGGTGAATCCTCACACACGTTACTGCTGGCTTGGAGCCAGTAAAGAACGGACTGCAACTATGTTCTCAGCTTTTTAAATTCACCAGGAGCAAAGCTAATCGGGGCCTGAGACATGGTTTAGGCGATGAATTTACAGAGCCAGGGCCAATGAAAATGACAGGGAACTGGGAAGAGAGAAACCGCGGTTTGAGGCAGGAGATTTCTGGTTAGAATTTCAAGGATGCTTGGATCCAGGAAAACAGGATTCTGTGGGATAAGGACAGACGGCACTATAGGCCTACAGATGGCGGGATGTCACCAGAACACAAGACTACGAGGTAAGGGAGAAAACGTTTTATTGGCATAGTCATTCCTTTCCTTGTTGAATTAAGAGAGTGAAGCAGTGACTTTTAAACAGTTAAAGCTGGTTTCTCCCCAAATGAGCTTCCACTGATTATGCTGGTAGGCCAGTCGGGTCAGGACCACCCAGTTTTGTTGTAAGGGGACAGACAGTCTGTAAAGCGAGTACAGCTCTTCCAGCTATTCCTCTTTCATTCACATGATCAGCAGAGGTGCACAAAAAATAAAACTTATATTGAGAAAGGAATCATGCCAAGGACCAGACCGGAGAGGGTCTTTGAGGCTACTTGACTACAAGCTCAGGAGATGCAGGGACCCCGGGAGAATGGCTTTCTCCCAAGGGCTGCTCCACTACCTTTCTTTCCAACCTCTTCCAAATCTAGTGAGCTACTTGCTTAGAAGTGCTGCCGCCGGTGGGGACTGGTCTCATTAGGAACTCTACTTTCTATGGCTTTGGAACACCTAACAAACCCTCTAGGGTCTCCGTCTTGCTTGCATGACGTGCATGGAGAGGGGAAGACGTGGAGGGAGCCACAGCAGGAGCTGAGCAGGGGGGCACTACTGGCCCAGCACTAGTCTAGGGGGGAGGCCTTGCTTCACTCACAGCAGTGGTTCACGTGGTCTAAGTGTGCACTGGGACTGCAGTCCACCCCATGGGCTGGGGGGCAGCCAGGCCTTGGATGTGTCTCCTTGGAAGATAGCTCTGACGGTAGACACGAGGTTGGGCCCAATCCTTCAGGCCCTGTCTAAAACCTCTTGTATCTTATCTGAATTCAAAGAATAAAAGACATTCCTTACCCTCCACCTCCTCACCAGCCCAACTGGCTATATTTAGGGGGAAAACTGCCCAAGGGCTGGCAGGGCCAGTCCCATGGCAGATTAGATCTTTTTCCAGTACTGGTCAGTGCATGGGATTCCAGCCACGATTTCAGATTCAATTCCACAGTGATCCCGTCCTCTGAGGATTTTAAAGAAGCCTGGAAAGCAAAAATAATATGCCTTTCAAGTGTGTGGAGTTTTGACCCTTGCCCACATAGTCAGACTCACCTCAGAAAGACCTAGGAGTAGGAGACGCCAGACTTGCCCCACAGCAGTCACCAGACTAGCACCAACTTGCTCTACCGACTTCTACGCTGTTTGCCCAGAGCCAGACACTGACTTGAGGCCATGTCCCAATCCCTACCACCCTCTATCAGGATCAGATCTGCCCTGCAAGGGAACCCTCAGCTCACGAGCACCCAAGAACCTGGAGGTCACTGCTGAGCTCTAGGCCTAGTGTTTGGAGCAGAGGACAGGATGAGCCCTCCGTCCTGGCTCACACACCCCATTAACAGGAAGAGAGAGCTCCGCTCACCATTGTCGCCCCAGTCAGTGTTCCAGGAGTTGCCAACCAGCCAGTAGGGTGTGCCATCCTCCACTCCCCAGCCCAGGATACGGACAGCATGGCCTCCCATCATCTCTCCAGTGACGTGCTGGTATACTCCTGAGAACAGGACAGCCCATTCAGGTGGAGACCAGGCTGTTGCCCCACTTCCCAGAGCATCCCTCCAATTCAGCTGGCTGCCCTGGCAGGACAGGGTCCAGAGAGCCCACCAAGCCCTCCCAAGAAACTGTTTGCAAACAAGGTTATACAGAGAGGAAACGCTGATGTTCTCTCAGAAGGTTCCAGGAGCTCCCATAACATTTGGGAATTATCTCAATAGGTTTTTGAAAGCCCAACAATCAAATACGTTTAATAAATATTAAAGTGGAGTCCCAACAAAATGTGCTTGCTGGTTGCCTTTAAAGTCATAGATTCTAATTTAAGAAGTAAATTTAACGTTAACATTCGATTCCAGTTATTTGTTCGCCATACTAGGACTCCACGTGAGGATCTCTTTGTCAAAAGGGTTTTGTAACTTAAAGAGTTTGACGCTGCTGCCCTGGGATGCCCCCTGCAGAGATGAAGCCTGAGAGAGGCTGGGGTGGCAGCAGCCAGCGTTGACCAATGCAGAAAGCTACAGGCCAAGCAGGCCAAGTGCCCCTGGGGCCTGTGGAGCAGGCGATCCCCTCACTGATGAGTCACTTTGTCAAACTAGAAATGCCTCCTTCTAAACTAGAGGTGAGGACTGCTAAAAACTGCCAGCTTCCTAATTTTTTCTTGCCAGCATCATCTCCCTCAATCCAATGATGTTTCTTAAGAGTCAAGAGCTTTGAAGTTTTCAATGTGGCAGATCATAAAGGAGATAGCACTGGGCAGCCAGAGGCTGGCTGTTCATGTAAATGGGGGATTTCTAAGGCAGCTCTCAGGCCGGGCGCCTGTCCAATGGCCCGGGGGGGGGGGGGTCCCCACAGCCTCGTACACAGCCACCTGCCTCCTGTTTCCCCATTCACTGAACCTGAGGCATGGTCTGGGGCGGCTCCAGCGCAACGTTATGTCTTCCTCCTCCATCTAGTCCCGGCCGTGCCCAGAACCCACACCTCCCTAGCCCCCACCGCTGCCCTTGGGAGCCAACACACACCGGACTTGTACAGCAGGAAGTCGGAGTACACGGTGAAGGCCGCCTCCACCGGGCCGTTTTTGTAGATCTCTGCCATGATCTCCTTCTCGTTATCGGACACACTGTAGGAACTGCATCCTGGCAAAAGAACCAGCCGAGCGGGGGGTGAGGCGGGTCAGGCAGGCCCCCCAGGGTTCCAGCTGTCAACTTATCAATGATTTATGGGGTCCGCCAAGTGAAGACCACATCTAGGGGGCTCACCCGGCCCAGGGGTCAGGGAAGGCCTCCCCGGGGAGCAATGATGGAGCTGGACCGGGACCGAGAAGTAGGAGCGCACAGCTCTGTGGCGCAGGGGCAGCGAGCACGAAGCCCTGAAGAGTGGTGCCCTGGGTCCTAGGCCTGATCACTCCGCTGTCAGGTGAGAGTCCGGTCCCTCCGACCCGGAGGGTCTGTGACTGACGCAACAGGAATCCTGAGGCCGAATTCGGGAGGGAGGCAGCCAGAAGCAGCAGTGTGCTGCTCCCTGGCAGGACAGTCGTTCATGGCCTTCCGATCTCCAGGGAGAGTCGGATTGCCCTGTCCTCTCTCTTCCTCTGGCTCGGGAAGGGTGTCTGCGGGGCCCGGGGTGCTGGGGAGCCCAGCTGCCGCTTTACCGTAGTGTTTGTCTTCTTTGTAGGATGGCGAGTAGCCGGGCTCGCAGATCTTGCTGCACTTGGGGGTATCCCCCTCCCCTGTGCATGGAGGCCGGGAGCCGTTCACGTGGTGCTCACAGGGAGGGATGGAGTAGGGTCTGCAGCCTGGGGGGCCAAGTGGAAAGGAAGGGATCAGCTGACAGCCTCCTCAGAAGCCCCTGGCGGCAAGAGGGAAACGCTGGAGGAAGGCGGGGAGGTGTTGGGAGGGAGGGAGGATCATCACATCTGCAGCAGGGACACCTGACACCGTTGCTAATTCTGCCCCCGAGGGAGGGGCAGTCCCCTCCCTCGTATTTCTGTTGGATTCTTCAGTGGCCTGCTCTCAACTCTCAGCCTTCACTTTATAATGCGAGGCCCATTCTTACTGCCTATAAGCTCCATCTAGCCAGAGAGGGTGCGACGGCAGACACTCACCCACATGAGAGTCATAGAGGCCCCCCGACACCAGGCCTTGCTTTGTCCAGAAGTTCCAAGCTTCAGCAGGAAAGCCTCCATTACAGCTGAGGAAGGAGCCACTTGTTAAGTTCACTGTGAGAGAAACTCTAGCTGCGCCCAGACCATTGCCCATGGCCCCAGGGTCTCTTGGGGACACCCCAGATAGTCACTTCTTCCAGGGACTCACCCAAGCTCCCAGGCCTGCCTGCCACCACCCTCAACAAGACAGAAGGACCCTCATATCCATGGCTACCCTGAACCAGGCTGTGCCCTTCCCGGAACCCAGATTATCAATCAGCACGCTGCAACTCCCTGGCGTTTTAATACAGAAAATGTTTTATTATTAATTAATTAATTAATTAATTAATTATATTTTTTATTTATTTATGATAGTCACACACAGAGGGAGAGAGAGAGAGAGGCAGAGACATAGGCAGAGGGAGAAGCAGGCTCCATGCACTGGGAGCCCGATGTGGGATTCGATCCCGGGTCTCCAGGATCGCACCCTGGGCCAAAGGCAGGTGCCAAACCGCTGCGCCACCCAGGGATCCCCTAATACAGAAAATGTTAATGCTGGGGACTGGTTTAACTGTATGAGGTGAGGCCTGGACACCTTTTTAAAAACTCCCGGGTATTTCTAATCTATAGCCGTATCTGACAACCATGGTTGTAAAACCAAGGCCAGAGTGGGCAGAAAGGTAGGTACCCACGGTGGGAATTTAGTGTTTGGTGACCAAGCTGGGGACCCAACATTCTTCATTACAGAAAATAGGCCCCAAGGTTATTACATTTCCTTGAGCACAGAAAGGGAAAAAGGATGACAAAAACCAGGCCCAAGGTCAGAAAGTGAGCCACATATTCTGAGACGGTCTCTGCTGTGCCTGGACCCCAGCCCCCACCCCCAGCGCTGGGGGGGGGGGTCAGCCTGACTCTAGGGCAGCTCACAGAAAGCAGCAGTCATACCACGGCCTGCTTCCAGACCGCCCAGGTCCCCAAGCTGTCTCGCCAAAGGACCGTTATCTGACCTGGAGTACCAGTCCCATCCTCACAGAGGCCTCAGCCTGGGGGCTCCTGGTGCCATTCCCAGGGGCCCGGCTCCTGCAGCGGGAGGCGCGGATTCTGACTCACCCGTCCCCACACTGGTCGCCACAGCAGGTGAGCATGTCCTCGGCAGACACCTCCACGTTGACATGCCCATTGGTGCGGATGCAGATCCGGTCAGAAATGGCTTCCACGGCCCCAAATGCCTGCAGGGACAAGCCCCCCACAGGTGAGCCCCACTCCTGGACGGTGGCCTCTGCCAGCTACCGTGTCAGAGGACCACACCTCAGACCTCCTGGGTGGCTACTCTCCCAATGTCAGGGAGGGTCCAGGCCCTCACGTCTTTGAAGCGAGAGACCAATCTACCCCAAATCTCTACCTGGACACTCGGGTCATTTCTAAAATGTGGTTTTTGTTAACCTAAAACAGCTCACACAAAGAACAAATACTGTATGATTTTACTAAAATGAAGTATCTAGACTGGTCAGTAAAAGAAAGTAGAAGGGTGGTTGCTGGCGGTGGGGGAGGGGAAAGGGTTTCCATTCTCACAAGATGGTAAGAGTTCTGTAGATGGGCGGTGGGGACTGCATTCGTGTAACGTGAATGTACTGAATGCCACTGAACAGCGCTCTTAAAAATGACTAAGATGGGGCGCCCGGTGGCTCAGCCGGTTAAGCATCTGCCTTTGGCTCAGGTCATGATCTCAAGGTCCTGGGTTCATCCCTGCTCAGCGAGGAGTCTGCTTCTCCCTCTGCTCCTCTCCCTGCTCATGCTCTCTCTCTCTCTCTCTCTCAAATAAATAAAATATATTTTTAAAATGACTAACAGACTTAAATTTATACCACATATACTTTTACCACAGTTAAACAAAATTAAGATAGCGCATTGATACAGATGGGATATTTCTTCGTGAAGCAGCGGAGGGGTCAGAACTCCTGGTGTTTGCTAATGGCCTGGGGCAGCGTGTTAAACGGGGAAGTAAAAGCAGCTTCACCACTGCACATGGGCCAGATCCATACACCACACAGGGCGCTCTGCACATCGGTTCTCCTGCCCAGTCCTGGCAGTAACTCGCGACCACAAGGATCTGCATGATTTTTATGTTGATGGAACGGAGACTCAGCAGGTTTATATAACTTGCCTCCACTGGGAAGTCTGACAACACGCCCCACACCCAAGGCTCGGGCCCCTCCCCGCCAGCAGGGCCTCACCCAGCAGGAACCGCAGGAACCCTGGTCTCGGATCTCTTTGATGGTCGGGCAGTTAGGCCACTGTTCGCGGGCATCGAAACTTTCCGGCAGAATCAGGTTCTTGGCAAACTGAACTCTAGATAAAGGAAGGCCTCCGTGACCCGCTTGCAAGTTACCACCCTCCCCCACCCTGGCACCCGACAGCAACTGCAGGCCGGGCCATCACCTGGGAAGTGAGACCCACGGAGGACAAGCTGGAGAGGACATCCACAGGGCTGCCCCCCGGGAATTTATAAAACTAAACCAGGAATTCTACTGTTCAACGCATCTTATCATTCCCTATGCTTCTTCCTAGTCTTCCTCTATGAGATGTTTTTCAAGAGTTTGGCCACAAGATCCACACAACTGCATTTCTTACTCCCTTTACCCCACCCCGGGTCTGCCCAGGGTCCTCCCCTCATTTTTAATATTTTCACTATGGTGTGATGTCCCATAACTATTCTATCCACCTTGTTATTTTTTTTTTAATTTTATCTATTTATTCATGAGACAGAGACACAAGCAGACTCCACACAGGGAGCCCGACATGGGACTCGACCTCGGGTCCCCAGGATCAGGCCCTGGGCTGAAGGCGGCGCTAAACCGCTAGGCCACCAGCGCTGCCCTTCTTAGATATTTCTAATGCTTCCTACTAGAGTAAGAGCCACTTGACAATGCTCACTGTAGAGCTCTCTAGGAAGAAAAAAAAAATGAAACCTTAATGGCCAATCAGATGGCTTTTCTTAGATTCTCCTTCAATTATTCAAGACTGGGTCCATCCAGGTCATACAGAACCAGACCTGGAGCTGAGACACCTGGAGAAGCACAGCAGGACACACAGTGCTGGGGGCTGAGCCTGTCAGGTAGGGTCCTTGCTGCTCCGAAGGGCTGAAACCTCTTTCCTTCCTTCCCTCCTTCCCGCATCCCAAACACACACCCATGCTGGGCATGGCAGTGGTGGGCATGGCAGTGGTGTGGGCATAGATGCGGAGCGTACCCACCCCCAGGCAGCAGGCACTCACCTCTGTGGCAGCTTCGGCCCACCCAGGAAGGTGCCACATAGCCTCCTCAAGTAGCTCGGATCCACGTTATGGAAGTTGTGTCCAGCCTGGAAGAGAGCACCGGCCACAGCAGTCAACAGAGGGGGGATCTAGGGCTGGGAGTAGATGGGAGGCCTAACCAAGCCAGGGGTGCCATCCAGCCTAGCATAGCAGGGGGTGCTGGGGAACTGCTAGAGAACAAGTGCATCCCCCCAAATTTATGTTGAAACCTAGCCTCCAAGGTGATGGCACCTAGAGGTTGGGCCTTTGGGAAGTGATTAGGTCATTAGGGTGGATACTTTGTGAAGAGGATCAGAATGGGGTTAGTGCCATTTTTTTTTAAAGATTTTATTTATTCATGAGACACACAGAAAGAGGCAGAGACATAGGCAGAGGGAGAAGCAGGCTCCCCATAGGGAGCCCGATGCGGGACTTGATCCAGGACACCAGGATCATGCCCTGAGCAGAAGACAGACCTCAACCACTGAGCCACCGAGGTGTCAGATTAGTGCCCTTTTAAAGGTGGTATGAGAGAGCTGGCTGGCCCCTCCAACTAAGTGAGGATACAATGAGAAGTCACTTGTCTGCAACACAAAAAAGTGCCCTCCCTAGAACCCAACCATGCTGGCACCCCAAAAGTGTATTTCCAGCCTCCAGAACTGCAAGCAATACATTTCTATTTGAAAAAAAAAATACATTTCTATTTGTAAACCACCCAGTCTGTGGTATTTTGGTATAGCAGCATGATCGGACTAAGACAGGCACCCCCCAGAGCAAGCAAGGACCCGCCCCCGAGTGAACCACCTGGGCAGCATGCAGCTCCGAGACCGGTGGGTATCTTCTCGGATCTGCTACATTGCTGAGGTGAAGACAGGCCCTCTGCAGCCCTGAACATGGCCCATTCTTCATTTCTTCACTCCTGCAATCCAGGAGCTGCCTGATGAGCCTTACCAACTACCATGTTGGGGGTTCAGGTCTTCCTGGTTGTGAACATTTCCAAAGCTCATTTCTCCCCACTGCACTACCATGCACTCATGCACACATGTACACACATGCACGCGCACACACACAGCACAGAAGCAAAGGAGGATGCTAAGCATAGTCCTGAATGGCCATGACTCTCAATCAGACCAACTGTCTGAGACAGACTGTCCTACAGCTACAGTCACCACCCTTCGGAGTCGGAATGTACAAACTGAACCCCTAGAGAAGGGACATGCACAATGGTCCCCACAGCTCACCTTCCACGTAGTGTTACGTTTGTTAACATAGTCGACCAGCTCATCCGACAAGGGATGGAAAGGCAGCCTGCTCTGGGCACCGGTAAGCATCACCAGGCAGCTAAGAGTGGCTAAGAGCTGCCACATTTTGGAAGCTGGATCTTGGATTCACCTAGAAAAGACATCAGGACGCTTCAGTTCAAGTGCTTTACATAAGAGTGCCAGCTCTGGCAGCACAGTTCGCGGGCCAGAAACCACCCAGCAGCCAAAAGACCCATGTTCTCTTCCTGGCTCCGCCATTTGCCCCTTTTTTCCCTCATTGTCCTCTTCTGTAAAGCCTGGGTGTGGGTGCACAGAGCCCGCAAGGACCTCCAGTGCCCGTGGGCTCCCAGGCCCCACCTCATCCAAGTCCCAACCTATGCCCATAGCACACAGGGCCATGCTGAGGGCTGAATGTCCATCCACCCCCGTGCCACCCCCCCCCCCAACCAGTTCATGTGGAAATCCTAACCCCAGTGTGATGGAATTAGGAGGTGGGGCCTTTGGGGGATGACTAGTCATGAGGATGGAACCATCACGATGGGGCTAGTGTTTTGTTTGTTTTGTTTTTTAAGATTTTATTTATTTGTTCATGAAACACACAGAAAGAGGCAGAGACATAGGCAGAGGGAGACACAAGCAGGCTCCACGCAGGGAGCCCGATGCAAGACTTGATCCCAGGTCTCCAGGATCATGCCCTGAGCCGAAGGCAGGCGTGCCCAAATGCTGAGCCACCTAAGCGTCCCGGAGCTAGTGTTGTTATAAAAGAGACCCCAGAGAGTGGTCTCACCTCTGCCATGTGAGGACACAGCTAGAATGGTGTGTCACGTGGAAAAGGACCCTCACCCGGCCAAGCTAGCACCCTGACCTCAGACTGCCACATTTTGTCCCAAAATGAGAAACAAATTTCTGTTTAGAAGCCACCCAGTCTGTAACATGCTGCAGTAGCAGCCCAAATGGGCTAAGGAGGACTCCTCCAGATGCCTTGGAGCCAGGACACAAAGCTGCAAGCAGTGAGGCCCCTCTGCAACTGCGGCCTGGTGACTCATGCACACTGCTGGGTCTCCAGGGCTGTTCTCAAGCTGAGGCTGGGCTCCCGGCCTAAGGGGAGCAACTATTCCTTGGATGCTCCGCGGCTACCTCGGGGCCTGTGAGGATGGCACCAGCACCACCCCACTGTCGGTCAGAACCCCAAGGCCCAGGCCACAAGCAGTACCAACGACTCCATCCAAAGCAAATCAATAAACCCAGATCTTGAGGCTAAACGGACTTCGGCGCCCCCACCTCCTGCTCTTGCCAAACTGCCTCTCCCTGGGTTTGTCCAACTACGTTTGAGACTCTTCCAAGTGAGCGCTCTGAGAGAGCAAACAGTCTATATGATTCGGTCCCAAATGGAGGACCAATAAGATAAGAAAAATGCAAATGAAAATATATTTCATAAGCCACATTCTGGATATAAAACAAGCAAACATGAGCCAACAAAGCCGAGCAAGTGCCGATCTCAGAGCCAAGGCAGCAGAGCTGGTTTGGCCAGTGGCACAAGTCTGGGACTTTCTCTGGTTTTTCCAGCCAGCCAAGGGTTCTCTTTCAAAGATGGGTCTTCCAGGACGGGAAACTGTCACATTACAACCACAGTCCTTAGATCTTAAACTGGCCTGCAAGTTAGGAGACTGGCAGTTTCCAGCTCCGCCTCTGAATCATGCTCCTAGGCAAGCAGCTCCAATGAAAGCAAGAAATGTCCTGGGTGCCATAGCACCCAGGGGCCTTGCAGGATACCCATGTGAGGAGTGGTGGCAGGAGGAGGGTTTTCTGTCCTTGACCTCAGGGGCTTCCAGAGTGTCTCAACTCCTCCCAGGTCACAGGGTTATGTGAACATGCTGCCTGCCTTCCACAGTGAATTCTATTTGAGGCAAGATTTAAAGTTGATGGTTGCTTAAGTAATAATTCATCCCGAAGAATAAAGGTGCAACAATAGCAAATGATTCAAGAACACGAATGGAGGCCTACTCTCTGGGGCAGTTAAGGAATTAGGAAACCCTGGGAACACTGGCCCAGGGACAGTCCAACCAACAAAGCAGACCATTCAGAAGCATATCCACGGGGGAATTTAGCATCTGTGGCACAGGTGGGAGAAGCAGCAGTGCATATCAGTGATGGGGGCCCGGCACCGCAGGCTCTGCATTTGAAACAAATAGTAAAGTCGAATCTTTACACCTGATTTCTCACACCCAAGAAGCGCTACATGGAACAATGATCTTGAATAAAAACAAGCTGCATGAAGAAAGTAAATGCACTTTAAAAACTGTAATGCCGGGATCCCTGGGTGGCGCAGCGGTTTGGCGCCTGCCTTTGGCCCAGGGCGTGATCCTGGAGACCCGGGATCGAATCCCACATCGGGCTCCCGGTGCATGGAGCCTGCTTCTCCCTCTGCCTGTGTCTCTGCGCCTCTCTCTCTCTCTCTCTCTCTCTCTCTCTGTGACTATCATAAGCAAATAAAAAAAAAAACTGTAATGAAAATAAAGTCTCTCTTCTAGGGGGAAAAAAAAAAGTGGCAAACTGACAAAACAGTCCTCACATATACTTCAAGGTTCCTTTCCCTATTATGTAAAAGGTGGTTAAAAATCTAAATAAATTAATTTACAGAAAAAGAACTACAAACATCCAAAGGTATGAAAAGATGCTCAACTCACGGGGAAGTACAGATAAAATGAGGGCCTCGCAAAGGCTGAGTGGCTGGATGGTTCCTGGCGGGGGTTAGATGTGGGGAAGCAGAAAGGCTGTGCTGCTGCTGAACCCTGGTGGCAGGTACAATCATGGAGAGGATGGCCTGGCCATTTCTAGTAACTTTTCGATCTCCACGCCCTTTGACTCAGCAATTTGACATTTAGAAATGTATCCTACTGTATTCAAAGATATGGTATACATTTGTTTACAGAATATTCTTTGTATAACAAAAGACCAGAAACAAAGTGTCTAAGGACACAGTAACTCTTACCTTACGGTAAATGATGAACAGAATACATTAAGGATGCAGTAAAGTGAATCATACTGTACTGATACAGTCAATATGCCCAAGATCCACGGAAGTGGGGAAAAAGCAAGTAGCAGCAAATGAGTCATGGCACGCGTGTGAGCCCAATAAGCAATATACACGCATATTACCGTTAACACATGTGAAATATTAAGAAAAACACGAAAGTGGTTATGTGTGGCAGGGAGATTTATTTTTCTCTATCCTTTGTAAAAAAATTAAGTGAACATATTACATTCAAAGTTTTGGTCTTTTAGGAAGAAGCGTAGCTAGGGCTACCAAAAACCCTGGACCCCCAAATGCACTTCCAATTGATTCCCAGTCAACAGTGAGGCCTTCTCCCTAGTAACTTTCTGCTGAAAAGCCCCAACCTTCTCGTTTTCAGTGACTCACGGGCAGGCTGGTGCTCACATGACCACGGCAGGAACCCAGACGGCCTCCAAACCGTTCAGTAAAGGTCTTGCTGGGTCCTCGTGTGGCAGAAGGAACAAGGGGGCTCTGAGGTCTCTCTTAAAACATTTCCTGGGCAGAGAAGCAAAGCACTCGGGCTCCTTTCTTTTTATCCTGCCATCCTCGGACTTACACTTGGCACCTTCGCATTTTCCCAAGATAGGGGAACCTCGCATGAGCACCAGAGTGCACGCTGTGGGCACACGGGCGTTCAGACCCATGAACTGGACTCACACCCAGGAGGGCTGCTCTCCCCAGCTTTCACCACCACCTGTCAGGGGTGACGGGGCCGCGGCTGGGTCCCAAGGCAGTCCCAGGTGAATGCTCCCTGTGTGTCACAGAGGGGCACCCCAAGCCGACCCCTGGGGGCTCAGCCATCTGCTGAGAGGTCACACCACGAGCGAGTGGAGGATGGGAGCAATGCCATGGTAACTGAGACTTTGAACAAGATCTCTCTGGCTTTTCTGGTGGCAGAGAACACAGGCACCTCCAGTTCCCAGGCAGTTCTCGGTTTCTGTGCCGATGGCCACCAGGGCCATGGCCAGGCCCCCCGTGAGACAGTCACGCACTTTCCCTTCTCATCTCCGTTCTACCGGTCCTCCTCCGTATTTCCTGTCAACATCATTCTCAGGGAGAACTAGGGGCTCAGTGAACTACAGAGCATAAGCCTGGAGGCCTGAGCTCAGCTTGAACCACTGACTCCAAGGCCCATCACTGAGCACTGGCGAAACTCTTCCTTTCAGCCTGCCACCCCAGGCCCAGGGCTGTGGCATCTGGGAGAAAGTCTGGTTTGGGGTTCAATGAAGAAATAGCTACTGTGGCCTAAGGCGAAGGCAAGCACTGGGCTTGGAGTCGGGACATCTGGATTAGATCTTGCACTAACTGTGCAGCCTTGAGTACCAATCTCCACTGAGCCTCAGTTTCACCACCTGTAAATGGGGCTGATGACCATTTATCCAGGTGGAAGTCAAGAGTGCCATGACAGTGCCTGCTCTATAGTAGGAAAGCCATGAAAGGTTGCTCATTTAGGCATGCTCAATTCCCAGGTCCAACTTACCACCCAATCTTCCCTCTCTGTCCTCTTCCTTTCTTGCTTCTAGCCTGCGCCAGATTAACTCTAGTTCACTCCAGACCTGTCCACAATACCTCTATATCACAAAGAGTCTGAATTAAAATGAATGTTGTTTTGTTTTTTAAAGATTTTATTTATTTACGAAAGACATACAGAGAGAGAGGCAGACACAGGCAGAGGGAGAAGCAGGCTCCCTGTGGGGAGCCTGACAAGGGACTCGATCCCAGGACCCTGGGATCATGCCCTGAGCCAAAGGCAGATGCTCAACCACTGAGCCACCCAGGCGCCCTAAAATGAGGTTTTAATTTCAATTAACGTCCAGATGGGAAGACTTCCAATGGGAGACTGCTGAGCCCAAAGAACATGAAGTCAGATTTCTCCCCCTAGAGGGGACGGATGCAGATATCCTGAGAGCAGTGGCAGTCTCACTCCAGTGGGCACCAGGAATCTTTCTGGGTCCACACAGATCGTGAACACTGGACCAACCACGACAAATGGCTAACAAAGCTGTATTCTGAACAAGCTGGCCATAGGTCCTTACAGCCTTCACTTGAAACAGAACCAGTTTTCACTTCCCCTC